ATATATATATAATATATTCTCTAATTTATTCTTATTAAGAATAAAATAATTTAAAAGTATTAAAGTATGAGTTAAATGTAAATTTAAATATTTACTTGAAACATTATCTACTTCAAAGAAATAAATGTATAATTTGTTAAAAGTGCTTTGGAACCCCTTGACCCAGAAAATAATTTTAGTGATTACTACAGTTTGGAAGGAAGAAATTATTTCAGGATGCCCTCAGCCCATGTGAACATGTCGTTTTGCTGTCTATATTTGGCACAGTAACATGATCTAATCTTACAAAAATGGAATGGGTTTATAAATTAAGCCCTAGAAACTTTGTGAAAATGGGACTCAATGATTTACTTCTGAAATAGCTTTGCAATGGAGTTACAAGTAATAAATGAGGTTTTGGAGAAACTGGCTTTCTTCAGGAATTTTTCTGTTAGTGCTAGAAGACAGAAGTCAGTACATAAAACAAGAAATGATCCAGGTAACTTCTGTAAAGTCTTCCAAAGGAAATATTTTGTTTCACAAAAAAATATAAGCTATTTTTAAAAATGATTGATTATTCTGCTGACTTAAGGCACATCATGAATAACCTGCTAAATTAAAAAGAAGAATTATATAATAATATACTCTCTAGCCTCAGAAATAATTTTGGAAACTTTCCAGGTGTCATCAGTATGGTTATCAGTTAGCCATATTTATGAAGTGTAGAAGACCATTCTGAATGTATATTAGGTCTCTAACACAGTCAAAAAGTCGCTTACCCTCAAAATTTATGATAAATTTTTGTTTAGTCAATAATACAAAATGAATATAATGAAATTTGGTTGTAATTATTTAGAATTTTGAATGTATCCATAGTGATTCCTCATTGATACAATATATGTCCATGATACATATACCAGATGATGCTACAATTTTAATGTCCACTTTTATTATTAGACAGTTTACAATAAAAATTACCAAGAACAGTTTTATAGTCTTATTGGATAATTTTTATTTCAAAGTGATGCACAGCCTGGTGAAAAACAGCAAATTATCTAAAACCAAAACCAAGATATTATGCAAAGCTCATTGATTTGCTTTCGCCACTCTCCCAAATAAGTAATGCTCAGCAAGGCAAAATGCTATAGCCAGGTGTCTTATGAAAACTGGTAAGATGATATTTTAATGTGATTCTTATTTTATTCTCAAATATTTTATTCTTGGACACAGTAGCCTCTATTAAATGAGATGGTTATGCCCAATTTGTCAGTTTCTGTTTGATTGTGTTAACAAAATGTGATTAAATTAACAAACTGCTATGGTTGATTTTGTGTTTCCCAATTTGTTTTCAAATTGTACAATGTGTGGTACAGACCATACTAGAATAAAACCATAAAAAGAAGTTTGCTGGAGGTTTATCCAAGAAGGATAATCTACATATCATCACCAAGCAATGAACTATTAGTTTTGATGGTTTTACTACTCTGATTTTCTCAATATCATAGGCAGCTGTTTCAGATAACTGCAGAAACTATATACATTTAGATATACCTGAGATAAAACAAATTTTATGTGAAGCAGAATTAAATGTAAGTGTAGTAATAACTCATCACAGCTTAAGAAAACATTGCAAATCAGGAAGAAACATTTCAGTGTGAAAAAAATGACATATAATACAGAGGACGCAATGTTATTTTTAAAACACAAGTTTAATTTTTTATTGCATTTATTGGGGGTGATGTTAGTTAATAAAATTATATAGGTTTCAAGTTTACAATTCAGTAATATATCATATGTAAATTGCATTTTATGTTCTCCATCCAAAGTTAAATTTCCTTTCATCACCATATATTGGGCCCCCTTTACCCATATTTGCCTCCTCCCCTCCTCCCTTTCTCTCTGGTAACCACTAAACTGTTGTATGTGTCTATGAGTCTCTGTCTTGTTAATTTGTTGCTTTCAGTTTTTTATCTCATATATAAGTGAAATTATGTCATTCTCAACTTTTTCTGTCTGACTTATTTCACTTAGCATGATAATCTCAAAATCCATCCATGTTGTCACAAATGGCAGTATTTCATATTTTCTTATGGCTGTGTAATATTTTATTGGATATATGTACCACATCTTTTCTTTAATCAATCATCTATCGAAGGGCACTTAGGTTATTTCCATGTCTTGGCCACCGTGAAGGATGAAATATGAGTTAATGACCTCGATTCTTTCAATGAGATTCACTCTTCTAGGTGCTACAAATATATCAGTGAAGAAAATAGACAAAGGCCCCTGACTTACAGTGATGAAAGACACACAGAAAAAATTAAAAACAATATGGGAATAATTTGTGAGTTTGTAGAATAAGAGAAGTGAAAAATAAAAATGTAGAGTAGGGAAATGAAGATAAAGTGGGTGGCAGCAGGTTGAAAATTTAAATAGTGTACATTCAATATATATTTGATATAATTTGAATAAAATTCTGAGATTCAAGGTTACCAAAAGTCATACTACTTTTGCTTACAAAAAATATCATATTAGTTTTGGTAAAACAAGGCAGTTAACTACCATGCTGGCAAGAAATATTTCTATGTCTATTATTTTAAAAATTTGTATTTTTCTTAGGATTTTTTTAAAGTTGCCTTAGTTGTGCTAAATCTGTCCAAAATTAACAGGCACACTGAGACTTTGAAAATGTCCTGTGACTGAGTTTCTGAAACTGTCAGTAATATATCAAGCTTTTGCTTCTCTTAATGATACAGATGTCAATATGAGAAGATCAAATATTTACTCATTAACAATTTAGATCAGGCCGTTGGTCAACATTATATCCATAAATAATTGATAAATGTTAGTGGTAACCTGAGAACACATTGTAAAATGTATGATTTTGTATCAATTATAAAATACTGAGTATTCTTCAACGTTTTAATGATTTATTAGTGATTCTATATAAAAAATTTTATAAATGAATTTGTAATATCATGCTTTACCAACTTTTGGTGACTCCCTGCTTTTTTTCCCATCTATACAACCAGAACTTTCAAATTTCAAGTTGCCTGAATTTGCTCCTTCCCCCCATCCCTCACATGACTAGGACTCATAGATAAGTAAAAACTAAAAAGTTTGTTTTTATATTCTATCCATAACCTATATATTGTAGTAATTTTAATCAAATTATCTCATCATTTTCACTCTCAAGAGTAATATTCAGTTTTAGTCTCCTTTAACATGAGGGCCATCATTATTCTACCAATAATTTTAAATATCCTTATATAAATCCTGTGTGGACCATTGCATTTATTCTATTGTTTAAAATACAGCTTATCTGTAGCCTCTTCAGGTTTGGTTACTGTAATTAGCAACCTTTGTTTGTTTGTTTGTTTGTTTAAACAGAAGAGAAATGCCTGTAGCAATGTTAACATGCTGATAAAGACAAGAGCTCGAGCTTCAATTAAAACAGTCTTTGAACAGTTTTGAAAATAAAAAGTTATTTCTTACTTTTTGGTTTTTGTTTTGTTCTGTTTTGTTTGTTTTTGTTTTTTGCTATTTAATCAAATAGGACATATGCAGAGACATTCTGGGAGAATGAGAGTGATCTAGAAGCTATAAAGTTGGGATCATTTCCTTGGGTTGCAAACCCAAGAGATATAATCTTTCCAAAATATGTTCAAATATAATATTAGGATTTTTTTCCTGATGATATATAATTCTTGCTTTAAAATATACTCTCTACTTTGAGGCCAACCTTTATCTTGATCTATCATCAATATAAATAGGTTTTTTCTTCTGCTATCCTGCAAAGTATACACCAATTACCTTTCAAGACTTCACAGATATTACTCTCCTTCTTTACATAGAAGAGGTGTCTATTAAAGATTTACCCATGAGACAGTGATGGTCAAAGGTTTTAATATCTTTATGAGTTTAATAGGTATCAATTGATGACACCTATCTTTCTTTTGCAGGAGCAGGAGAGTCAGGAAAAAGTACTATTGTTAAACAAATGAAGTAAGTACATACTATGTTAAATGTTTGATATTTGATGTCTCTCCATCTATTTGACCATTATTAAATACTTTGGGACATCTAATTGATAGATTAAATCATAGATAGTAGCAGAGCTATCACGATTTCTGTGCAAATATTCTTCCCATCTTTTAGCAGAAATGGATGAGTAATATCATAATTTCTACTTTTAAATTTTGCCTCTTGAGATGGATATTAAAAGCAATTATGTTTTAAATATATTAATCTGAGTATAATATAGGGCTTTAATATTGTGGTCATAAACCGTAAGCATTTTAAAATATGTCAATGATCCATTTAAATTTAGGAGGAAATATTTTTAAGCTAATGACATTTTGCTTACCTGGGAATAAAATGCATATTTAAAGTAATTATTACCATGAATTTAAATTTATTTTTGCATTTACTTCTTCTATCTTTTTCTTTTTATAATGAAATAACTAGACCTGAATTTCTTAATAAGGAGATAACACAAAAGTGCTGTAATTCAAGAATGAAATGTCTAAATGAATAAAATGGCAACTGATAAGTGGAAATAAATACGTGAAAACTCATGGCTCTGTCACTGCTAGAGAATTTTAAAGAACAATTGTTGCTATAGCAGAAGAAGTAGTCGTTTTGAACTTATTTTAAATTATATGTTCAAGAATCTTGTTCGTTGGAACATATCATATCAGGGAATGATCCCAGACAATGATGAAATTGCCTATTTACAATCTAAACCAGTGCTTTTTTCTTCTTTCTAGGTAATAATATCGACCATATCAACCAATATTTAAGCCCCACTTTTGAATTCTCTCACTTATATCTGCAACTAAATTTTTTACTTTTCCTCCTGTTTTTGAAGAACAAAACTTTATTCTGATCACTAATCGTACTGCTTTTGCGTTCTCAACTCCATCTTTGCACACAAGTCATCTCACATTCCCTTAGATAGCATTACCACTGGTCATGAGTTCTTTCCTTTCAGGTTATGATCATGCTTGAATCTCTCTTATCCTTTTTACCTCTCCATTCTCTAAGAGGTTAACTGCAGTAAGGAAAGAAATGACTAATTATTTGGCTATATACAAATTAAAACTTTTAAATATCTTAAACCATAAATAAAATTTAAGAAAATAGAAAACTAGAAAAAATCTATAATAAATATAATAGATAAATAATTGACTATCTTAATATATAAAGAACTGCAGATTGTTAAAGAAAAACAATAAGCTATACAATATATATAAGTGTGAGGAGACTATATGAACAGATAGTTCACAAAAGACAAAATTCAAATTTCTATTAATATATATATTTTTTAGTTTAACCTCACTAATATAAAAAAATTAAAGCAATAATGAGCTATTAGCAAATTATCAAATAATAATTTCAAAATAATATTACCCAATAAGGGTAAGCATTTGAGAAATGTATATTTCTCATTGCTACTTGTAAAATTGTTATAGCAAATTTATAGAAATAATTTTCATAATGTACACAGTAAGCTGAGAGAATAATTATTGATCTTTTGAATACATTTTTGAGAATTTTTAAATGATAAAATAAATTTGAAAAACAAATTTTATATTAAAGTAAAATAATATAAATATGAAAATATGAAAATTTATGCACAAAGAGATTTATATCAATCTTACTTCAAATAATGAAATACAAGATAGAATAAAGTACTTTAAATTAAAATAAAACATAGATAGAGTGTGAAGTTGGAGGATTATTCACCTTTTAGTTACAATATTTTGCATTCATTACAAGTTTTTAATATATTTATATGAGAAAATTTTAATGAAAATATTTAACTGAAAAAAACAAGACACAAAACTGTATATTCATTTTTATCTCAACTATGACAAAATAATGTTTTCAAATGGAAGAATATATATCATGTTCGAAGAAATTTACTCTCAATAGTGGCATTTAGAGTTACATTGCACCTACCTTCATTTTGAATATTGTTAGGCTTTTCACATTTTCTACAATGAGCAAGTATTACTTCTGTTACTAAAAAATGAGTTACCTGGTTCTGCCCCATTTTGCCTTCCTTTTCTCAGAGTCTCTATAAAGAATAGCTCTCTTTACTCTTCATTTTCCAATTACTCTTCAAACATTTACATCATTCTTGCCTCTAGCATCTCACAGAAATTGCCCTTATGAACATCCATTATGATATCTGAATTGCCATTTCTTATGAAGTGTGCATAAGTCTTTATTTTAATTACATTTGACTTCATTGGGCTTTTCTCTCTTAACACTTTAGCCTGGCTTCTAGGATAACTCTCTCTCCCAGTTCACCTACTAACTCTCTGCTTTACTCCCTGATTCTTTGACTATGTCTTAAATGTTGGTGACACTAATGTACTAGGTCCTTGCCTCAGTTTACTCTACTCTGCCATCAGATGAAAACTGCTAGAGTCCAGTGATTTTTACTATTATCTTCAAGTGGACTATCAAGAATATTTCTTTTAAACTCGGATACTTTGTCTAAACTAAGAAAGCAGATATATCTACTCTATATTCTATGGATTGTCCCTGTCAGAATAAACAACATTAAATTTGTTTCACCATCTGGCTTCTTTTTCCCTAAATGAATTACAGCAACACCAGCCCCTAAAGTAATAGATCTAGGCGTATTTATGCTGACCCCTCACTGTCTCACCAGTTTATGCTACATCTAGACAAATTATGTCTCCAAACATGTTAATTTTTTTTATAGTCACTGTCTTAGTTCAAAACCTCAGCATTCCTGACCTGGATTAATATAGGAGCTTGCTAAGTAGCTTCTACCCTACTCCTCTTCCTTCCATGGCATTATTCACACTGCCACCAACTGATCCCTTTAAAAAATGACTATATCTCTTTCCTGAATTGAATTTTTCACTTATACTATCAAGATCAAACTCTTTGCCATAGTACATAAGACACATCAGAATTTAGCTCTTGCCTATCTTATCATCCTAATATCCCGTAATTTCCAATTTCTTAATTTCTGCTTCAAAAATGCTGAATTTATAGTTTTATGCACAAGTATGCAATGGAAGGCAGTATAGTTTAGTGGCTAAAATTATAGACTTTAAAATCAGACTTCATTTGTTGTCCAGCTGTACCATGCACTAACTGAATAAGTTAAGGGTAGCTGCTTAATGAATCTATGCCTACGTTTCTTACCTGTAAAACGTAGGTGATAATTTTATTTACTTGAAATAGCTTGTTGCAAAAAAAAAAATGAGAATAGACAAATAAAGCACTTAAAATGTGAGTGGCACATATTTGAAGCTTGATAATTGTGAGCATTATATTTGCTTGTACTCATTCTTCTGCCCAGAATGTTCTTATTCCTTTTGACTAATTGGAAATAACTATTTATCCTAGAAAAATTAACTGATCATCACTTCTCCCAAGCAGTCTCCCTTGATCCCTTATAACTACTCCCAATAGAGTTTACCACTTGCAGATGTTGTTGCGATACATTATCACACTGTACAAAAAATCAGGTCGTAGCCTACGGCCACGCAACCCTGAACAAGCCCGATCCTACCTGATCTCGGAAGCTAAGCAGGGTCGGGCCTAGTTAGTACTTGGATGGGAGACCACCTAGGAAGATCAGGTACTGTAGGCATAAAAAATGAAATAAAAAATAAGGGATTGCAAACTGACAAGGTCCTTGCAATCTGTGAGGTCAACCAAGGGTTGCCTCATCTAAAAAAAAAAAAAAATCAGATTATAGGCTTTATCTTCCTATAATCCGGTACTCTCCAATACAACTTTCTGCAATGATAAGAAGTTTATATATTTGTGCTCTCTACTATGGTAGCTCCTAGCCACATATGGCTATTAAGCACTTGAAATATGGCTAGTGTGATAGAACTGAATTTTTAATAATTATTTCATTTTAATGAATGTGTCTAGTGGCTATTATATTGGACAGTGGAACTCTAGTAGATATGTTTTTGGAAAAGAGGGACTTGTATAATTTATTCATTTTGTTCAGTGCATAATGCAATATTTTATAGAAAATGCGTTAATTTGAACAGAACTAGGAATCAACTTGCAGGAAAAGAGCTCTGCTTCACCGAAATATGTTTATGCAGCCCCTAGAGAAACAATGCTAAAGTCCCACACAAATGGATTTTTTAAAGTCTGCTTTTGTCATTTTGCTTTGTGATACATGTTTCCTTATCCTGTAGAGAAAAGACAGGGATCAGAACCTATATGCCTTCAAGTTTATTTATAACTGCTATTTTAACAATTGAAATAATTTTCCAATTTTAAATCTTGACAAAGAACTGGGATATCTTTAATAAACTTATTTCTGATCTACCCAAAAAGACATTTACTGCATTTTTATCTACTGCGTTTAATTGTCTATTTAGTTTATTCGTTTAAGTTATTTAATTGTTTATTACAGAAAATTATGGCCATATTTATAGTATAAATGCAGCAATTATTAGCAATAAAATATTAAAAATAAAGAATAGATATAGGTATCGCCTTTACTGTGCTCTTTGTCTCCCTGTGCTAAAGCCTCTATGCGTGTGGCTTTAACCAAATCATTAGCACCATGACTTCCACAATGATGCCTAAGGAACACAAAGCACTTCAAAAACAATAAGAAAAAAACAACAGAAAGGGACAAAATAACATTATGCAACTAAGATATAATAAAGTAATTATCATATGCGAAAATATTTACTTTTATTAGGTAAATTGATTTTAATCTGTTATTCTAAAACCGTTAGTAAAACTTTGAGTTCTGATTCAATAAGTGGAAGGGAGAGTTCAGCCAATAAAATGCCTGGGCATTTCAACTCTGAGCACTCAGTGGCATGCACACAGATGGAAAAGTGACAAAGGATTTAACAGTAGCTATTACCTACATTAAAAAAAAAAAAGGTGCCTTTTTTTAGCCTTTGTTAATGCTGAAAATAGAAAGCAGGCACTCCTATTTTCCATCATGTCTTAAGTGGAAGGAAAAGACATGAATCTTAGACTAAATTACTTTACTTCCTCTGGGCATCATGCTGTAAACACCATAAGAAGTTTCAGAATTACGTATGCAACTTGGTTCTGGGAATCTGGAAATTTTTCTCTTGAAAAGATTAAGCTTTATAAGTAAAATGCTCATTATTTATCTATTTTTAATAATGGTTTATCTAGAGCAAATCCTAAGTCCTCTATATTTGGCATGAGGAGTTCAGAAAGAAAATATTGTATTAAACCCTAATGATAAAAATCCAAAAGCCAGAAAATTGTTGTTTTAGCATATATGTATGGAGAAATTCTTCTTTTTTAAACAAATATATACTGTAATTTTATTCAAGCAAATTATTATTGATGTGTTTTAATATTACTAAAAATCAATTGTTCAATTCACCAATGCTTTTCATGTTTAAATTATAGGATCATCCATAAGAATGGTTACAGTGAGCAAGAATGCATGGAGTTCAAAGCAGTAATTTATAGTAATACATTGCAATCCATCCTAGCTATTGTGAAAGCCATGACTACCCTTGGGATTGATTATGTAAATCCCAGAAGTGCAGTAAGTATGCAAATAATGACTGGTTTAGGTCCTACAATGGAGTTTCAGCCATAAAACAGTAAGACAATAAATTAGTACTAATTTATACCAAAAACTTAGAAATATAAAATATGAATTTTGAAAACATTAATTCTGTTTAGTGTAAGATTTCCTAATAATGAAAATCATTTTTAACTGTGTGTTATAATCTTATTCAACATTAACTGTTCCTGGGAGTCAAACCTAATAACAAATAATACACTATATTAGAAAAAAATAATGCTTATATTTGCTAAATACAATAGTTTATTTTATAATCTCAAACTGCAGTATCTCTACATTTATTTTCTTAGATTAATTATGAGTCATTTCATGAAGACATTACTTTTAATAAAAACACTACAATTATTATTGTTCAATGTTAATTACAAAGTGTGGCTCAGAGAAATTATTTTGTAATGTTAATTTTAAAAAATTCAAAATTGTGTGCTTAAATAAAATGTTTCTATAATAAATATACTCAAGTAATCATAGTTTTGTTTATAAGGCAGCAACTAAATAACTTCATTTTTCTTCTACTTTATATTTTATATTTTTTGTTAAAATACATTTAAAATCCACTTGCTTTAAAACAGCTTATATGAAAGCATATAAAACCATTTAATTGACAAATAATACATTTACTATTATCTAAAGAACAATAGTTAGGCACACTCCTCCAAAAAAGAGTAATTGTGTACAATTCATAGGAAGAACTTACCCACTTCTGTATTCCCAGCCAGGAGCCACTTCTTTTATCCAAATGTCAGTTGAATTGTTTCCAGTGTAATTCTTAGATACCTTGAGATACTAACAAGAATAATAGAGAGGAACAGTACAGTAAGTACAGAGAAAAAAGTGACATTTGTACTTTTCTCTCCCCCAATTTACCAGTAGTTTAGATCATGTAAATGACCATTGGAAGCCATTAGGAAAAGTATCTCTTTCATGTTACTAATTTTTTTTTTCTTAAAGTATAGTTGAAATACAATATTATATGAGTTTCAGGTGTACGGTATAGTTATTCAACATTTACATACCTTATGAAGTAATCACCGTAATTTAGTAACCAACTGTCACTGTACAAAGTTATTAAGGTCTTATTGATTCTATTCTCTAAGGTGTACATTATATTCCTATGATTTATTTTATAAGTGGAAGTTTGTACATCTTATTTCCCTTCACCTCTTTCACCTATCCCCCCATGTAAGTGAAATCATAACTGATTTGTCTTTCTACAATTTATTTTACTTAGCATACTACCCTCTAGGTCCATCCTTGTGACAAATAACAAGATTTCATTCTTTTTATGGTTGAATAATATTCCAGTGTGTGTGTGTGTGTGTGTGTGTCGGAGAGAAGAAGAGGAAGAGAGAAAGAGAGAGAGAGAGAGAGAGAGAGAGAGAGAGAGAGAGAGAGACAATTTCTTTATCCATTCATTTATAGCCACTTCTATATCTTGGCTATTGTGAATAATGCTGCAATGAACATAAATATGTATGCATCTTTCCCAATTAGAATTTTTTTTTAATAGCTACCCAGAAGTGAAACTGCTGGATCATATGGTATTTCTACTTTTAATTTTGTTTTGTTTTGTTTTGTTTTGTTTGAGGAACATCATGCTGCTAATTTTAAAGGACATGGTAAATCTTATTTCGTTCTGCCACTTTCTGACAAAGAGCATGGCAATGTTCTTAGGGCAAACAGTTTGTAGAATCAGGAGTTGTGCTATGCTCTCCTTCCAATTTTAGCTGTCCCCACAGCTTGGCTCCAGTAAGTCACCTACTTCTCTGGGTTACAGTTTTTCTCTCACGTGTAATAGGAGAACTTGCAGAAATTGAACACCAATATCGTTTTGTTCTGCATCACTCTATGACTTAGTCATCATGTTTTTATTTAAGGCTAGGTCAGTTATTACTTGACTCTGGCTTTTCCTAAGAATCTAGGATTTTAAACTGGCCCTTAAAAGACAACCTGGTATAACCCTCTTACTTAAAGATGTGAAAAATAAGGGCCAAAGAGGATTAGCAACTGGGCCTCCCTTAAATTCTGGAGTTGAGAGCAAAATCCACTTTTCCTGGCTTCCTTTAGAGTGCTTCTCCCTAGGCAAGTACTGTACTGCATAATGTAAGCTCCCAGTAAATATTGGGTATTATTACTTTTCATTAATCTCCTTGAACGTAGGCTCACTAAAATTTATGTATTGAAGTCTACACATTTATCATTAAAAATATTTTTATTAAACTATTATTTTATGGCAGACATCTTTCTGAACACTGGAGTTATACTGAAGAATCAACAGTAAATGAGATGAAAATAGTGGTTACCTTCAAAGAAGAAAGATTATATTGAACAAGTAATTATGACATATGGTTGCGGGAGAACTAATTAGTCTAATTTTGAAAATGTTGAGTTCTGTGAAAAATGTGTAAGTTCTGTGAGATCGTCACATGTGTAAGCAGTTGAAAAGTGCACTTGAAGTTCAAAAGAGATATTTCAGGTAGAGATCTAAATCTTGGCGTTATTGGCATACCATTACACTATGGCATATAATTTATATTAAAGAAGTAGATGGGACAGTTCTTGGTTTAAGAAGGGCATTAAGGAGAATAGAGACTTAGGTCTCAGTGTCGAAAAACTCCAAATATTCTGGTCACTAAAGGATAACAGGAAAGCTTGAAGGAAAAGATAGAATAGTAAGAGCAAAACCAGAAGTGTATAGAATCACAGAATTCAAGAGAAGTGTTCTAAATAGGTTAGATCCTGAAAGGTCTTAAGAGGTCAAGAATGAAGTATATTTAAAAGAATCTATTAGATTTAATAATATACATATCATTGGGAATTTAATGAGAGAGGTTTCAATGAGTTTTGGATACAGAATGTAATGAAGTGTGTTAAGAAATGAGAAGAGGATATGGAAATGGTTTAAAGACAATTTCTGAAATGATAGCTGAGGAGTAGGAGAGAGATAGGATCTGTAGTTTAAAAGGGGCTTGTTCTTACTTGGTTTAATATTTGATAGAATAATTTCATCACTATAGAGATCATAAAGAGTAAAACTGAAGAAACGAGGGGGCATAAAGAAGGCACTTAGTAAATTTCTATTTATCTTCTCTGAATATTATTATATTCTATTTTAGAACACCTAAAACATCCACTAGACCAACATAAAAGACTGCTGAAAGTTATAACACTTTTATAACACAATTTGGGTGTTTTTGTGATTATCTTTTACATAGCACCCTACAAAATGAATCCTCAAACCTAAACCAAAGAATATTAATTCCTCAAGACGTTCTATAAAAAAAGTTTTGTGATTAAATCAGTCTGGGATACAAACATACATAGTATTATAGCTTCTTGAAAATTTGTAAACAATATTAGTATTCAAAGGCTCTGAAAATCTGTTACATCAAACATGGCATTTTTAAATCGGCATTTTCCTCAAATTACTAGGTTAAGATATCCTTTCCTTCCTTTGATATATATTTTCTGAAATTTTTAGAAATATGACTCTACGGTTCAGAATGAGTTTCATGAAGTTCTAGGACCACCTGAGGTTCTTAATATTAATGATGAAGTTTTGGGTAACTTGTAGAGAAAATATATATTTAGCTTTCTAAGCAACACAGTTCCAAAACTATGCAACTTAAAATGAGCCATTCTAGAATCGCCACAATTCCCAAGCTTTTCCAAATAAATTATAAGGAAATAAAATTTCTTCAGGATGCCACTCAACTCCCCTTGGAGCTTTTTGAAAAGTGTGGAAAATGATTGGAGATCCCTTAAAGTTTCTCTAGAACCCATGGTATGAGCTAATTAGCATATTTATTTTATTGATTTACTCATTCAACAATATTTCAAGAACATTTCAAGAACATGTATTATGTATTAGGTTCTGTTTGCAACCTTAAGGATATAGAAATGAACAAAATAAATAAAATCTCCTTCAAGTGCTTACAGTCTAATATAAAAGTTAGAAAATAAAGAAATATGTACTACATAAGTAGTAAGTACTATGAAAAAAAAATCAAGAAAGGTAAGGGGCTAGATAAAAAATGGAAGGATGGGTGCCTGTGGATGGCACCCCTGAGCAGCAGATATTTGGGAAGAGACCTGAATGAAGTAGGAAGTGAGAGACAGGAAAGACATAAAGGAAACAGACAGACATTCGAATGCTCTGAAGTAGGGGCTTGGTGAGTTCAAGAAACAGTAAGGAGTCCAGCGCTTCTTGAAGAAAGAGAGAGAGGAACAGAGATGGAAAGAGAAGGAAATAGGAGTGAAAAGTAAGACAGGAGTCAAAACATATAGAGCCTTGTGAGCAACAGAAAAGGGATTTGGGTTTTCTTTTGAGTTTGATGGAAAATTACTGGAGTTTTTTAAACTATAAGAGTAAGATAAGCAGTAGGAGTTCAGTTTTCAATCAATTTGGCTGTTTGGAGGAGACAACTACCTATACTACTTGTTAGTTTTGATGTTATATATTTTTAAAATTCAAATTTAATTGGTAGGCCTACCCCATTAAACACATAAATTTTAATTCTTTAAATTACCACGTTAGTCTTTTAATAACTGTGGGAGAACTTCAAGAAATGAAATGTAGTACATACAATAAGATATTATTTATGGTAAAACAAAACAAATAAACAAAAAACTGTATATTGCCAGAGAGATTCTCAACTTAGGCTGCACATCTGACTCCCTTGGGAGGTTTTTTTTAAAAATATCTTTGCAGAACCCGATGCCCATAGATTCTAATTCATTTTGTTTGGTTGAGGTTCTGGTATCAGCATTTTTTAAGAAGTACCTTACATGTTATATTTTGCTGCCTGATTTGAAAATCACCACTGTCAACCTCACCTATGAATGCAATAAACTAAAAAATAAAAATCTCGAAAGAAAAAACCAAACTGATAGGCTTGCTTGCATTTAGAGGAAAGTACTAGGATTGAAATGTTAGTGAAAGAAGACTTAATGACATTTAAATGTTCAAGGTGAGATTATATTCATAATATTTATACAAACAAAATGTATTTAAATTAAAAATAGAAAACTTTAAAGAGGAATGAAAGTATATTAGCTTGGTTTGTAAAAATATACTAACAAGTCGTAATTTTTTCCGTTTAGGGACAAAACTGTTTGGGCACCTATTTCATTGCATCATTGCTCCTAAATGACATTTTAATAGTGGAAAGAGGCGAATGAGATGATGCCAACAAAAGTAACTCGATCATATTTCGCTGGTTTTGCAGTTCTTTCTCACATCCAGCTAATCTGGAAGAAGGTTTTAAAATTAACCCTGTGCTGATGAAAAAATTAAAAATCAAGCCTTTGATTAGAGCTATTTAAAATTTTTGCCCTAATGGTCATTTTATCAATTTGGTTTGGCAATTAAATCTGAATGTGAAGAAAGGCGAAATATGATTTTTAGTCTTAACAGAACCTCTAACACTGAGAGACATACCTTTAGTTGTTCATGCAAAGAGCAGATTTTCAATAAAACAGTGAAATAAACCTGTCACAATTTAAAATAATAATGAATTAAATTGTGTCAGAAAAGCGACAAGTTCTTTTTTGACATATTTCATTGGTAGCAACCTGACATTGCACAAAAGATATTTAGGTGTTACTCTTGTGATGCTTATTGTGTTTACTGGTTTGGCAAATTAATCTCCTAGTTTTAGATTTCTCATTGGTAAAATTGAAATAATATAATGTCTATGTGACTGTTGTAAGAATTGTGTGAGATATCGCATGTGCAAATTGTCTTGTAAATATAATAATATATGTAGGAAAAAGTTAAGCTTTGTAGTCTGACAACCAGAATATGGGCCTAGGCTTCTTCATTTGCCTGGTCTAATATTATGGTCAATAATTATTCTGAAACTCAAATTCTTAATCTTTATTTTTTTTGCCATAAAACTGTTTTGATTATTAGTTTAAATACACTATAAACTATATTATTTATTCAATATATTTTCATTTCTTTCTGCTCTTGTCAGTTCCAAACATATCATCAGGACTAAAATGACGTTTGCTTTCTTTTCTTTATTTATTCTCCCTTTTCTCTTTTTTTTTTAGTGAGCTTGACTTCTACCCTATTGATTTGTTCCAAAGACATGCAATTAACAACATCTACATGGATGTTCAAAACTTCGTGTGAATCAAAATATTACAAGTACTTATTAAGAAATGAAAATATATGATTATGAGTACATAATGATAAATCATATTGTATATTAATTTTTTAAACTGGAGTTTTAGAGTATTGAGCTTTATTTTCCATTTTACTCTATTACTTGGTATTTTTATTTCCTGGGAAAAAATATAGCCATGATCAAAGAAAGACAATGTGTCAGTTTAGATCATATTCATTACCCTTTTACTAGCAGTTTGACCCTCTGAGAGCTCAATGGACTTACACTAAAGCATTGCTAACTTTTTTGACATCATATTCTGAAGTTAGTGATATATACCAATATATCCTAATTTCTCCATATAACTTTTCATAGTTTTTGCAATGGAAAACTCTTCTGGACATCATCTAGCTACTATAAGGAACTTTAGTCCTATTAAGGTTGAGATATATTGATAGATGTTCAATGGAATTATTACCTAAAGAAATAAGATAAAAATCATCCAATTGAAATACTATATATATGATTCCAAATAAAAACACATTTTTATCCTTCTCACAAATAACATTACCATAGGAAGACAGACAACAACTTTGTGTGTTGGAAAATACCCTGGAAGATGGTCGCATGACTCCTGAACTGGCTGAGGTAATAAAAAGGCTATGGAGAGACCCAGGAATTCAGGCTTGCTTTGAAAGATCATCTGAATACCAGCTCAACGACTCAGCAGCTTAGTAAGTGAATGCATTTTGGCAGGAATTTTAGCTGAAACATTTAAAATTAAGAATTATAACTCCATATACTCTACCTTTTATTATACTAAAATAAAAAGTAATTGAAAAAAATTAAAATGATCAAAATGATGTAAATGAGATGTTAAAAAAAATATAACCAGGGAAGCATTTTAAATAATTAATTTGAAAACTATTTACCTGAAAAGATTCATATGTTGTAAATGTATTCTCTCAATTAAAAAGAATTAATCATTTTGCACCATACTCAACATGAACAGACTGGTGACATGCACACTGAGATTTGAGTCTATACATTTCAACTCTATTCATGTTACTGAAATCATCTTCTAAAGTAATCTTACTGATGACACATGCTTTGGGGTTATATTGCTTTGATGAGCATGATACAGAGTTCTAGAAGAAAGTAATGTATTGATATTTAAAATATTTTTATATTGTGAAATTCTTTTTGAGTCTCAAGAAAGATTATATAATTTTCACAGCTAATATCATCCAGTTAGCAATTAACAGCCACAAGGAAATTAGGGGGTTGTGATACTGTTATAATTTCATTACAAAATGATTTAAAATTTTCGTTTCAGCAAGTGGTTCTTAACTTACCCCATGGTTATATGCTATTAGCATGTGTGCACATGTTTGTAAATATCATTTAATAATTTATTATATATTTCTGTCCATGCATATGAATGTATAAAAGGTATAAATACAGTTCTTTTAATGAACCCCCAACAGAACATGCCAGTAGTACTTAAAAAAAAACAAAACAGTAAAATGAAAGTGAAACAAATAAAAGATTATTTGAGGGTAGAACAATAAAACTTGCATGATATTTAGCATTTTTAATCATGATGGGAAGGGTTATGAAGAGAAAAGAAACCATAAAAATTCTAGGAAAAGATAATAATAGTCTTTTGCTATTACTCATTCACATTCATTTTAAATTCCAAAACCCGATGGATGCATTGCCCTAGGAGGAAAGTCCTGCTCTTGTCTCTCTAATGAAGTAGAAAATGGTTATCACCCTGTGATTATATAAACTTGAATAGCTGTTTTTGTAAGTGTCCCAGTGCCTAGCCACATTTTAATATTAAGAGGGTTCTATGTATATAGAAAACACTGCTTTTCTATATGAACCATTGATAAAGGCAATTGCAATTAATAAGAAACTGAAATGTGGAATATTCTCATGAAATATTGCTTAATCAAGTTTTGGGGAGGGAGGACGAAAAGGTTAGATGAATTGGATAGAGACAGACAGACAGACAGACAGCTGTAATTAGTTTTGGATACACATTATTGATTAAATATGATTTTCCCTTAAAATACTATAAGAAATGTATTTACAATTATATTTTCATTATGTTTATTAATTCTTTGCTCTTTGATAGCAAAAAATATTTCCATATTTGTATGGTGAAAGTAAGCAGATAAAATGACATTTTATTGTAATTTCTGGACTTTCTAACTTTTAGTTTTAGCTTTTTTCTTTGTTTTGACATATAAAATGTATTTTGCACTGGGACTGTCATATTATAGATTCATATTAAAAGCATTTATCTGTTTTTCAAGTTAAACACATGTACACAATATCTATTTACACCCATCTTGTGAATGTTGCCAATGCTGTAATGGTTTCGAACTGCCCGGTTTGGTTTGCAGGACAATAGAATAACAACAGGAAAGCTGATTCCCAACCTCCACCCCACTCCCTCAACCTCAGCCCCATGTCTATGAAATGTTTTATATAAAATAAAATAAAATAAAAAACTCAATGTTAACTTTTTTTACTCTTGGGGTCCTTAAAAGAAAGATGAAATAAAAGCTTGCTAAAATAAATAGTCGAATGGCTATCATTTTATTCCAAAAATTAACAACAGATTTTTCTCCAATACCGAATGACATTCACATTTTCAACTTGTAAATATATTATCAGATCGGTATCATATCTATGTCTATTTCTTATGCATTATATAAGACAATGATCTTTTTTTCTTTCCTTTTCTTCCTTCTTCCCTCTGCCTCTCTCTCCTTTTTTTCCTTTTCTTTTCTTTTTCCTCTCCTCTTCTCTCCTCTCCTCTTCCTTCCCTTCCATTCCTCCTTTTCTTTTTCTTTCTTTCTTTCTTTCTTTCTTTCTTTCCTTTCCTTCCTTCCTTCCTTTCTTTCTCTTTCTTTCTTTCTTTCTTTCTTTCTTTCTTTCTTTCTTTCTTTCTTTCTTTCTTTCTTTCTTTCTTTTCTTTCTCTTCCTTCCTTCCTTCCTTCCTTCCTTCCTTCCTTCCTTCCTTCCTTCCTTCCTTTCTTTCTCTTCTTTTTTCCATTTTTGGTGAAAGTGAGATGTTTGTTATTCTCTCAAATATAAAGACTCTTCAAGTTAAGGCTAACAGGTGAGTCCTAATCAATGTAATATAATTTTGTCATTAAAATCTTACCAGTCTATTACTATCTCTATTTAACAGTTGTTGGCAACATAACACCTTCCTCACACACACTCCCCATCACTATCAGTAAACTGAAAGAAAAGTGTGTGGCAAACAGGGTAAAGATTTTAATACCTCATGGTTTACTGACTGAAGCTGTCTAGTGTTCTATTTAAATTCCATATGCTTTGATTTAACATAGACTTCACCAGGAAAAAATACTATTTTACAAGATTAGAAAAAGAATCAGATTTTTTTGTGATTTGAATTATATGTATTTAAGGCCTCTGGTTTGGTTTAAGTTTTAGGACACAGGCTTTTGCATCAAAATCCTATATTTGTTTATTAAAATAAGCGTTTATATGCAAATTTGTCCCTCTGCTAAAACTTCTGTTTTGCTTGAAATCATTTATACATGCATTAAAATGTGTCTTTACCAAAGCATTCATTTAGCTATCATTACAATAAATTTGATCTCTATCATGCAGGCATGTTTGTTTTGTTTTGTGTTATTTTGTTTTTGTTTTGTTTTTGCTCCTGCATGAACCAGCTAACCATCAGTATACATACCACATATGCAGACTTAATGAATAAAGAATTCACAAAGGAATTTGATTCACAAAATAGAAAATAGATAAACTAAAATAAAATTTTTAAAAGAACATTCCCTAATATAACAAAACAATAGAAGTTTCCCTATACTTTTTTCTGATATATTTATATCTTGATTAGTATCCTCTTTCTAAAGAAAAATTCAACTTTATTAGAATAAAAACATAATGATAAATTTTCAAATTACACACACTCATGTTTCTAAAATGTGATTATCTATTTGTCTCTGGCCAAAATTCCTTTGGGGCACTTGCCTAGTCTCAATTTATTTAGGCTTAATAGAAGAAATACCCTCCAAGAATATGTATACTGCTATTAAATTTATATTTTTAATATGATAATATAGCTTCGTCTTTTAAGGCATCGTGCTAGGTGCTACAGCATAACAGTTCTATAAGTTAGCTCCTAAAAAAATTCGACTTTTAAATAATAGCAAATATACAGTTGGATTCTACTTCTCAAAATCTGTCTAGATGGATGTATGCTCATCATGATCTTCATATTTAAGGTTCTGTATAAATTTGGTTAATTATAATGGTCAATTTTGTCATAAAAATCTTACTGGACTATTTCTCTCTCTAACATTTTCACAGAAATAGCTATATTGTTAAGCCACTAAAGCCTTTTTTATTAAAAGTCTAGAACCATGGTTTTCAACTTTTTTAAAGCAATAAGATATTGTTTTGGTCTAAAGACTTTATCTGCTTTCAGGGATGAAGCTAAAAGCAGAATATTTTCTCTAATCTAACAGACTCTTACAGAGCACAGGCTTAATCACATTCCTGCCTATCACCACTCCTAGATCCTGGGCTGAAAGAAGGTAGTATTCAGCTGTGTAACAGTAGGGCTT